GACAATTATAATATTCTAAATCAATTTATTGTAGTTATTAAAACATTGAAATTTATGTGAAAATTTACACGATATTAATTGCTAAAGAAAAATTGACAGAAACTCAACAACAGAGTTAATTTAATTGTCTAATTAAATCATCAGTGTTTTTAATCAAATAATTTCTAGTGCATCTTATCTGGCTTTTGTCAGAGTAAAAAATGGTTCATCTGGTCCGGAAATAACTTCAAATGTACATAATCTCACTATTAATGGTGTGCATAAACAGACACAAGTTTAATTTTATTAATGAATTAGATGTTGTCAGAGTTGATATCAAAGCGGAAATGTTAGTGATCCCATTTTAAAAGTCTGTGTCTGCTGGTTTTGTACTTTTTGTAGACCATTATTGTTTTCTTCTCTCTTTGTTCTGAACATTATTCTGACAAGATAATGCTCACAGCAGAAGTTCATTTCCTTTGTTTTAAAATCTTGAAACATTTGATTAATTTGATACAGACTAGCTACATCTAAAGGTTACTGGTGAATGATTAGACTTTTCTTTTATTTCCGTATGCCGACATTGAAATGTGGCCATATATTGTGGTGGTCACTCTCGTCCGTCTGCCTTCTGTCATTCACAAGCAACTCCAGAGGCCAAAGTTATCATATTGACTTTATTTATACAAAGTATTTATGTTCAAGAGACAAAGAAGACAATTGATTTTCAACAAATTACTGCCAGAGTTACTGCCCCTAATCAATTTGAGAAATTTGTAGACGCTCGAGATCAAGAGGCTGAAGTTTTCATCAAATTGTCTTGAAATTTATATGTGCTGTCACCACCGTATATGTTCATTTCAGATAACTTGAACTTGGAAGAACTATAAGCCAATCAAATTTAAATTATTTCTTATATACTATTCAAAAAAAGTAGGGGATATTTGATTTTGGGGGCATAATACTAAAATATGCAAATGACTAAAAAAAAAGTCACTATAGAACCTAACAGAAGAAACATTTCCAGTTACATGTGACGCCCAAACGCACCAATAGCTACCGCATGGAATGCAGGTGATGCTTGGGATCATCATGGGGGTCCAACCCAAGATTTGAATGTTACAGTCATTGTGGCATTGAATTCCAGGGTGGAAACATCAGTTTAATTGTTTTCGTGACCAGAAAACAAATTTTGATATGCGTCGGCTTACCCAAAATGAAAGGTTACGTGCCCTTGGCATGCTACAGATCGGCACAACACAGGCGGTTGTGGCGCGGACGATGAATGTTTCTCAGTCTGTCATAAGCAGGCTATGGTCCAGATACCGTGATACACAATCTGTACAAGGGCGACAACTCAAGCCCAGGATCGATTTATCCGTACCTTGGCCTTGAGAAATCGTGTCATCACAGCAAATCAGATCAGCGCTCGTCTTCAAACAGACACTGGTGTGAGAGTGAGTGGCCAGACGATTCGGAATCGACTGCATAGGGGTCACCTTCGCGCCCGACGTCCTCGCGTGATCCCTTGTTTTAGAGATCATCACATTCAGGCAAGACGTCGTTGGTGTAGGGATCGTCAACACTGGGATAATCGACGCTGGAGCAATGTGATGTTTTCAGATGAGTCAAGGTTCACTGTTGATTTTTTGGACAGACGTAGGAGGGTGTGGCGTCGTCGAAACGAGCGCTTCCAAGACGTTAACGTCATCAGACATGATCGATTTGGGGGTGGTTCTGTTATGGTGTGGGGAGGCATCACTGTTGCTGGAAGAACGGCTTTACATGTTGTTGCCGGGCGTGTTACAGGCCAGTACTACCGGGACAACATCTTGGCAGTCCATGTTGTGCCGTTCGCACGACGTCATGGCCGCCGTTTCATCTTCCAGGATGACAACGCAAGATGTCACAGGGCCAGGATCGTTACAGGTTACCTCCAACAACAGAACATCACCACATTACCTTGGCCAGCACTGAGTCCCAACCTCTCCCCCATCGAGCATGTCTGGGACATGCTTGGACAGAGGTTACGTCAACGTAACAACGTCCTGCCAATGTCCAAGAACTTGCTGCTGCGTTGCAACAGGAATGGGACAATCTGGACCAAAATGACCTTAGACGTCTCATTAGGAGTATGCCACGTTGGATCAATGCTTGTTTGGCAAACAGAGGAGGATTTACCCGTTACTGACTTGGTTGTGATGCTGTGGTAACTTTGCTGTTTGACCCCGGGTATCATTTTACCCTTATAATGGTCAGTCTGTGCCTTACTTAGTCTAACGATCATTTGGAATAAATCGATGAATGTGAACTTCATTTCATTTTGTCATTTGTTTCTTCGTCAGTTTCATTAGGTGACTTTAATAACACTTAAAAATCAAATATCCCCTACTTTTTTTGAATAGTATAGTTACTTAAACATGCATTATGCAAGAGCAAAATCTGCTTATTACAAGTCTTTCTTTAGGCCTGAAATGTTATCTAAATTATCAATTAGACATTAATTAACTTATCCAGACCATAATAAACTATCGATGTCAAGGCTAGCCTTCGATGTTGGCTGGATTAGATTCCTATACTATTCAAACAGCAAAGTTACCACAGCATCACAACCAAGTCAGTAACGGGTAAATCCTCCTCTGTTTGCCAAACAAGCATTGATCCGACGTGGCATACTCCTAATGAGACGTCTAAGGTCATTTTGGTCCAGATTGTCCCATTCCTGTTGCAACGCAGCAGCAAGTTCTTGGACATTGGCAGGACGTTGTTGACGTTGACGTAACCTCTGTCCAAGCATGTCCCAGACATGCTCGATGGGGGAGAGGTCGGGACTCAGTGCTGGCCAAGGTAATGTGGTGATGTTCTGTTGTTGGAGGTAACCTGTAACGATCCTGGCCCTGTGACATCTTACGTTGTCATCCTGGAAGATGAAACGGCGGCCATGACGTTGTGCGAACGGCACAACATGGACTGCCAAGATGTTGTCCCGGTAGTACTGGCCTGTAACACGCCCTGCAACAACATGTAAAGCCGTTCTTCCAGCAACAGTGATGCCTCCCCACACCATAACAGAACCACCCCCAAATCGATCATGTCTGATGACGTTAACGTTTTGGAAGCGCTCGTTTCGACGACGCCACACCCTCCTACGTCTGTCCAAAAAATCAACAGTGAACCTTGACTCATCTGAAAACATCACATTGCTCCAGCGTCGATTATCCCAGTGTTGACGATCCCTACACCAACGACGTCTTGCCTGAATGTGATGATCTCTCAAACAAGGGATCACGCGAGGACGTCGGGCGCGAAGGTGACCCCTATGCAGTCGATTCCGAATCGTCTGGCCACTCACTCTCACACCAGTGTCTGTTTGAAGACGAGCGCTGATCTGATTTGCTGTGATGACACGATTTCTCAAGGCCAAGGTACGGATAAATCGATCCTGGGCTTGAGTTGTCGCCCTTGGTCGACCTGAGCGTGGTCTGTCCTGTACAGATTGTGTATCACGGTATCTGGACCATAGCCTGCTTATGACAGACTGAGAAACATTCATCGTCCGCGCCACAACCGCCTGTGTTGTGCCGATCTGTAGCATGCCAAGGGCACGTAACCTTTCATTTTGGGTAAGCCGACGCATATCAAAATTTGTTTTCTGGTCACTAAAACAATTAAACTGATCTTTCCACCCTGGAATTCAATGCCACAATGACTGTAACATTCAAAGTCAGAGTCGTGCAAATCTTGGGTTGGACCCCCATGATGATCCCAAGCATCACCTGCATTCCATGCGGTAGCTATTGGTGTGTTTGGGCGTCACATGTAACTGGAAATGTTTCTTCTGTTAGGTTCTATAGTGACTTTTTTCGTAGTCATTTGCATATTTTAGTATTATGCCCCCAAAATCAAATATCCCCTACTTTTTTTGAATAGTATATATGCCGTTTAACAGCCATTGATAATTAAATCAAAAAAGTGAATAATCGAGACTATGCTGTTTATATTAATGATTTTAGTAATGATGATTGGGACTATGCGAAAATTCCACCCACTTCGTTCTCGGCTCATAGTGGATCAATTTGAATGAAATTTTCAGCAAATTACCTTTACACTATCTAGTTTTTAACTATTATAGCGAGAACTGCCATCTCTTTATCTTATCTCCCATAATGTATCTTTAATAAATTTTTTTTTTTTTTCTTGACTTATTTTTAATAAGTATGCAACAACCTTTTTTATGATTCGTTACTTGACAAACTATATTTTATTTAGCCGTTTTCGATCCCAATATCACAGTTTATTTTCAAAAATCTCATTCAAGTGTTGAAAACATATACTGGTACAAGAATAATATATTTTAAGAATAATATATATGATACTTTGAAAGACATTGTCTTGATGTTTGAGACAATATTGTTTTTGGTTTTTTTACTAATTGAGCTGAAGACTTTTTAAAAAGTTGATATACTTGTTACAATAATACTTCAATGGGCATTGGTTTTAAAGAAATCAGAATTCAACATAGTATATAATGGTGTACATTAATAGGTTCTCACATTGGCACACATTTATTATAGGGTTATCTTCACTTTTAACATCGTTACAGAATGATCTCTATTTTACTTTTGCGGAATCAACATTCTAGTGAGGCTCTAATTAGCTGATATTCTATTATGTTCAGAATATGAAATCTACATTTCTTTAAATTTTGATCCAATATGATTTGATGTACACAATGTTTTGTGTGACCTACCCTACTTTATACGAAGGGCTGAGTTTATTAAATACAGGTGGTACATTTTGAAATTGATATTGAAGAAAGCATAACACACTGACTGAACATCTCAAAGCATGGTGTATGCACCAAAGTTTGTGGGAATTCAATGTAAATGTACTAATAACATGATATGCAATGAAATAAACGAACGTCATCAGCACACCATAACATTTACAAGTGGTGAAACTTAACTACTATTCTTTTCTCTCTGTATTATTATATGATGATATGTTTTGTCTATTTGCAGGATTATCATGCTAGTTATGATGTAAATGGTCATGATCCCGACCCCCAACCAAGATACGATTATTCCAATGAAAACAGGTATTACATTCTTTCTAGTTGATTTAATCTCCTACGTGGCATCTGCAACAATGTGGGATGCCAACTTGGGATAATGTCACGACAACTATTATTTTCATCTAGTATTTATTCTATTGTTCTAGTTTTCGTGTCAATGTCTTATAGATATGCTTTTCATCTTATCTATTGTTTACAATGTAATATGATAATTCAGATTGTCCATTTAACTCCTTTCATTCATTAATAATAGCAATTAAAAAGATCTGGGGTTTTTAAAAACAAAATCTGATGTCTCAATTATCTTAACTTGGAAAATAAGCGGATTGTAATTTAGACAAGCTTGAGGCACATCAACAATCTTCACCTTATCTTAAAATAGCAAGATATTGCCAATATAAACTATACAATATTTTGGCATCAGTGGACTATTTTTTATCCAACTGTGTTTGTTTTCATACAGCAGACATGCCTTATTGTTTGTCAAAATATAGAGTAAAAATATGTCGCCCTTTGGTTCTAATGTCTTTTTTATTCTGTACCGACTGTGCTAATGAAGACGGGCATACGCCATATAGTGTGCCATGATGGAAATTATGCCCGGACAGCGGTACTATGCCTACCTACTCTTACTTCAAATTCCAAATGTCAAGTGTTCTTTATGTACCGACCAAGATGTACAAGGCTCCTCAGTTTTTTTACCATCCAAATGACTAGACACTGTTCCTTGCTCATGACTATCTGATAAAATCATCATTATGATAAGGACACAGTTAGCAATATATCACTGTCTTATGGTCATTTAACAATATCAGATGTTTTATGGGAGAAACTATTTTTTCACTGCAATGGAAGTTCATATGGGCTAATATGGAGGTGTCACAATATAATTTGTATAAAAAAAGCAATTTGTATGTTCTCTCAAGATGTGTGTTACCCCGTTGTTTGAAACATATCTGTTTAATACCTTATTTGTAGACATGGCACAAGGTGTGCAGGGGAAGTGGCAGCTCAAGCTGATAATGGTGTGTGTAATGTAGGTGTGGCTTTTAATGCTAGAATAGGAGGTATGTATTTTGTCAATATTATTGTAAAAATATCTTCTATTGGTATTTGTTTCACAGTGATCAGTAGGCCTATTCAAGTAGGTTTGGATCTCATGGACATTATTATTGAGAAGATTGCAACTTGATTTACAATACGGTAATTGGTATTTTCAAAGATGACAAAAACTGAATAAGAAGTTGCAAAAATATTTTATTGTAGAAATGCCGTGTAGTGTGCAAAATATTTTAGTCATTTTTAAACTGTAATCCATTTTTTATTATTATCAATCAAGTAACACACCAATTGTTTTATATTTTTTACTAAACCTTAAAGAATACATCTATGTTGATGTTTGTTTAAATAGGGAAATAAGTTTCAATTTTTTTAACAAAATACTTGTAAACTGGGAACATTTTTTTTCTCAGGTAATGGCAACAACAAACATAATGAAATCATAATTTAATGTCTTATGTGATAAAGCCTTCTTTTAAAAACAGTAATATTGAATTATGGAAATTTTTGTGAACTAAATCAGTTAGCTGAAAAGTGTTCATTTATTTTAAGAAATGTAAACATAAACAGTTAATTAGAAGTTGGTTAGTTTATCTTTACTGAAGCTTTAATATCATCACAGTTAATTGAATGCAAGATACCAGCATATTTCACAGTTTTTCAACCAAATAAATCTGCCACAATCAACACGTGCTAAATTTGTATCTTAAAAAAAAATGTTTTCATGGATGTTCCCTTCAGCAGATTTATGAATTTTGTAATATTAATTTTATCATGATGATAATGTTGAATGAATTACAACTTGATGAAAATGTTTTCTACTGATTATATATAAGTAGACTGGGTGTTTTAACTAGTTTAATCCATTCCATTTTACTTGACAGGTTTTATAAATATTAACATACCTTAATTTTAATGATCTCCCTAGAGTTTCACCATGAAATCTTTGTACAATTTTGCACGTACATAATTTGATTATATAAAGCCTTTTTAATTGGTTGGATGAGCATATTAGGATCTTCATCAAACTTTAATTGTAAAAGACCTTTGATGTTTTCATTCATATTTAATTGACTGTTTCCATTTAGAAATTGCTCAAAGAACATTAAATTGTTTTGACGAAGACAATTAATTTCATATCACAGTGCCATAATTATATAGTGTTAAATATTTTAAGTCTGTTTTGGTTGAGCTCAAAAATTGACTAATTATCTGTAATATAAATTATGAACATTTACTTGCATGTCATGTTTGATCAGCTGTCCTTGGAAGAATTTTATATGCTGTTTGCTTTTCAATTTTAGAACCCGTCATTTCATTGATTTATGTTAGAAACAAGTGTATTTATGAAGAATTTGTCCAATTTCTGGTATACCATTAAATAGATTTGACTAGTGATAAAGCCAAGAAATATATTTGATAAAGGTGTGGTTGAATTTGTAGGTGTGCGAATGTTAGATGGTGATGTAACCGATTCTGTAGAAGCCCAGTCCTTAAGTTTAAATCCACAACATATAGATATATACAGTGCTAGTTGGGGACCTGATGATGATGGTAGAACAGTTGATGGTCCAGCTACTCTAGCTAGGAAAGCTTTTTATGATGGCATAACAAAGGTTTGCAATAATTTTTATCTGCTAAAAGTTTTTCTTGAATATTCTGTGACATGTTAGTAAATCATTCACAAAGTAAGAATCATTTACCCCCTTTGTGTAAAGGCAGGGTTGATTCAAGGGAAGTAACTACCATATGTGTACATTAAAATATTATTATTGGAGACTTTATTCAATAATACACTGCTCCATTATGAAAGCAAAATACATTTAATTAGGAATACCATTGTGTATTGCAAATATTTTTTAACCTACAGAGAGTAGACCTATACATAAATTACACAAAAAATATGATTTTTGCTTCAAAATGCAAAATTATAACTATGCTACATCATTGTAGTGCAGATCATTATTCCTCGGCTCATTGTAACTCGGCTCATTGTAACTCTATAAGATAAAAAATATATATGATCAACATTTTTGATCCCTGCAATACGCCAAATCGGTAAGAATGATTCATGAAGATTTGCATACATGTTATTTAAAATCACAGTATGATAATGATTTAGATAGTGCTTCACAACTTTTTTTGTTTTTCTATGTTTTGGTGTGTAATTTCAGGGTCGGGATGGTAAAGGTTCTATTTTTGTATGGGCATCGGGTAATGGTGGTAGAGATGGTGATAATTGTAACTGTGATGGTTATACTAACAGTATCTATACACTATCTATAAGTAGTGTGACAGAGAATGGTAACATTCCTTGGTATTCAGAGGCTTGTTCTTCGACATTAGCAACAACTTATAGTAGTGGATCTGGTGGTGAAAAACAAATTGTAAGTAGTACATGTATTATGTGTCTGCATTCTAAAATAAGCAGTTTGCAGATTTTTACCAATTCAGACAACATGTTTAAGTTCAAACAATTTTAAAACTCTTGCATAGGCCTTCTGTAATCCACATTATATATAAAAGAGAAATTTTCTTTCTTTGTTCAATATAGGAACGCAAATAGTTGAACTTTTTAAAATAATTTCATAATAACTAGTTTTTATCAAGAAATTTGATGGTGCTATTTCTTTGTTTATGTTTAATGATGAAATTAATATTGTGTTGATATGGTTGGTACAAAAATGGAGATAAAAACTAGTCGTGCAACACAGCTATTATTAAATAATTGTAGTGATATTTTCACTTTCAGGTTACAACAGATTTACGCAAGACATGTACAGAGAATCATACGGGTACTTCAGCAAGCGCTCCTCTTGCTGCTGGTTTAATAGCTCTTGGATTAGAAGCAAAGTAGACATCAGTTTTTCTTTTAATATTTGATTAATTTCCTATAAATATATTGGGGGTGGGGGATGCAATTGTGCACTGTTCTCTAGACTAGAATATCTTGAATTTCAAATCCAGGCTTTGAGCAAAGAAGAACCTTCAGAATTATTTAAGTCTGGTTCACACTTGTCAGGGATGGATAGTCTACAAAGAATTAACTGTTCGTAATCTAGGATTAGAAGGTGGAAATTTGTGCTGTCCACGCAAAATTTCCCCCCCTCTCATTGCACACTAATCATATGGATGGAAATTACCATATATGAGTCTTAGATTAACCAAAGGATTATGTCGATTAGACATTAAAAAATAAGCCTCATTTCATTCCAGTCCTTAGAGTTTAGAAAATATAAGATGATTTTTAAATTGTTGATTTCCAAGTTTTTAAAAACTTATTATATGATTGCATGATGAAGTTCTCCTTGATAATTGATCAAATAAATGTGAGCACAATTCCGAGTGGGATCATTTGAAAATTTATGTGATTTGTCTGTTGAACTTAAAAAATAACAATTTTGATAATTTGATAATTTATATTTGTTAAAACTTAGTGAGATGACAAATTTTACTAATTGTGATTATCACTTTCAAGGTTACAGTCCTTTCTTTTAAAAAAAAAAAAGATCGATTAAACTTACTTTCACTTGCAATTCTCCCGTAAAAGATGAAAATTCTTCTACAACTTAACTAAATCATTCAAAAAATGAAATGTAGTTATATTTGTTATATTTTAGTGACAAACTTACATGGAGGGACATGCAGCATATTGTAGTAGAGACTGCTAAACCTGATAGATTAAAAGCTAATGATTGGGTAACAAATGGAGTTGGAAAAAATGGTTAGTACAAAAATCATCTATGGCAGAATAATTATTTGCAGTCAATGTTTTAACATCATCACTGTTATGTATTATACGAGTAGAAATGTATTTTGAGAGCACTGTAAGGTAAAGGGCAAAAATATTTTTGTTTGTTGACTTGGGATCTTTGATTACATAGAATGAATTATGTTTATATTTAACAGTGAGCCATTCCTTTGGTTTTGGATTAATGGATGCAGGATCTATTGCTGCATTAGCTAGAAACTGGACAACCGTCCCTGCTCAACATATATGTGAAATCCGGTCACCAGACCATAATAGGTAAGATATTTATTGTTCATTAATGGTTGAAGTATGACAAGGTTAATGCTCAAACTATTCTGAATTTATAGAAAACTGTCATCCTATGGATATTTTACATATTCAGTTGACTGACTTAATGGAAATGATGTTGTCATTGACACACAGGCTAAATTCTTATCTTACCACATGTGAGTTTGAACACCTTCCACATTATTGACCTTGTTAATTGTATGATACTTACCACAGTTTGTGCTTTTTATGTAGACATCATTTATTCATCTCCTGTGTATAAAAGTCCGAAATTGTGACTGACAAACATGACTATTTCAGAATTTGAGGCTAACAATGTCTGGCAGCTAATATTTTCTCTTCGAAATGGCTTAAACTATGGTAATTTCGGGACTAACATATGGTTTAATTTAATTCGCTTGCGCGTAGGGTTCTTCAGCAGTGGGAGGAAACCAAAGGACCTGGAGAAAACTCATGAGGTTGGACAGGCGACCCTACTCCTTGTCACGTACAGAAATGAAATGAAATGGGGTTTACTGTTCTGCTTCGAACTGGGCTAATGAGGACGGGCATACGCCATGCAGTGTGCTATGGGGGAAATTTTGCCCAGACAGCAGCACTACAGCCTACTCTTATATCGAATTCCAACTGTCACGTACAACCGGGGAATCGAAACCACGCCAGTTGACTCAATGACAGACCTTATGATACAACGCGCACGCACTAACCATTCGGCCATCCAACTCTCTTCCACAGGGGTGTAACTCTGTATGTAAAAGGGGGGTTGAATGGCTGAATGGTTAGCACGTGCGCGCTGTATCCTGAAGTCTGTCATTGAGTCAACTGGCGTGGTTTGATTCCCCGGTTGTAAGTGACAGCTGGAATTTGATATAAGAGTAGGCCATAGTGACCCCTTACAAGGAGATGTCGCTGAATAGGAGTGGCTGCTTGTACAGATTCTACTGCATATTTTAAAAATGTAATATAATACCTGATTTTCTTTGATTACAGAATCATACCAACGAATGGAAAGATAACTGTTCCATTACCTACTAATAGCTGTCAAGGAACTGCTAACCATGTTAAATATTTAGAACATGTACAAGCACGAATTACAATGACCTCATCGCGGAGGGGAGAAATCCAGATTTTCTTGACATCTCCAGCTGGTACTCGATCTACCTTGCTGGCTAAACGTATTAGAGACACTTCTCGTGAAGGATTCAATAATTGGGCTTTCATGACTACTCACAATTGGGGAGAATATGCCGAGGGCACATGGATTTTAGAAATAGAAAATGGCGCCAGTTCATGTAAGTTTGAATTTATTTTGACAACTATGTGTAGTGTGTATTTGCATATTTGCATTGTTCAAGCTTTATTTTATAGATATGCATTCATTAATGATAGGATGTGCTTTAGTTATTTAAAAAAAAAATGAATTTATTTAATTTTTTTTTTTTTTTTTTGCAAAATATATCACAAAATGATGTTCTGCTATGTTGCATGAGTTGTCTCCCTTACACTGCTTGTCTTTTCTTGTGTTTTGTAATGTATATCTTTATAATACCATTTATATATTAGCAAGGACAGCATTCTCTTTTTTAAAAGAAATTAAAGTAAAGAAAAACAAAATATCTGACCAAATGCTTTCAGAAATGTGAATGGGATCCTTTGAATTAACCAATTCAAAAAATTATTGTGTTTAAAAAATATTTTTGCTTTGAAAGTCAATTGGTATCAATACATCTATTTTAAATTTTACATTTTATTTTTAAAAAATAGCCAGAATTAACCGAACAAAGTACTAAAACATATTAGGACTGCATGAAGACTTTCAAAATTAAAATTTTAATTGGTATTTACTGTAGGATGAGTTTGATGCTGTTCCATGACATTTAGAGAATGCATGTATTCTATCACATTACTTACATTGAATTTATCGCCTAAAACCATTGACTAGTCTTAAATTTGATATTAGAAAACTATAGAAATTCTATAAAGTATGACAGATGATTAATGATTTGCATGGTAATGTTTGTCAATATAATTCATTTATACATGTCACATATTTACATATCATTGAATCTTTTTAATATAAATGTAATTTTAAATATCAAAAAGAAAATAATTAGAGTGTTAACTGGGATAGGTGAACAAAACAATATACCATGATCGGTGAGTGATAAACATCAAACAAGTACATCAATTAAAGGGGAAACAAGCCACATGGTTAACAAATATTTTAAAAGTAAAAAATATGTAGTCTACAATAATTGGGATCTAATTAAGGATACAAAAACAACTATAATGAATGGGATGGCTTGTATGTGAAAGATGGCAATGTTATTATTACTTAGAAAGATGGTAGCATGAAATCTGTAGAAACTAATGTAAACTTCAGATGGCTGTAATTTACTATATATAACTGATTATTTTGAATAAGTTTTGGACCAGTGTGAGGTACTTTTGAGTGTGTATTGTCGTCATCACTATATTTTTATTATGACTTGTTGTCTCTTAAGGTTCACCTTTATAGATATCAAATTGTTGACAAAACATCCAAATTTGTCAGTTACGTCAAATTATTTTCACTTTGTAGTCTGACATGCATGAATGATTTATGAACGGTTGAAGAGTGTGAAATATGGAACTTTAGTACTTGTGATATTTAAATAAGAATTTTATGGCATTTATATCCATTTCAAAATAGTTGTTTTTCACAATATGGTAGGCGCTATTGTTATGGTACAGATATCCTATTGATTGATATTAAACACATAAAACTGGTACCTAAAAGGATGATCTCATCGTTTGTGTTATCACTTGCATTTATAGTATACACAACATCACTTCATAACATGATCCACCTACCTGTATCATAATGTATAACAGAGGAAAGGACATACCATAACAATTAAATAATTATATGAATTTAAAAGGTGAAAAAAGGTGAACATCTTCCACATTGCCTTAATGATTTTGGTTAATATTCTATGTTTCCAGTCATGTGTGTCCAGTTTATTTTTCACAAACTTTCATAACACACCAAAAAGAATGTTGTCTGTTTAAAAGAGTTGCCTTGATCTTTCCTCTTTTCCCCCCTCATTCTTTTCATGAACTATCATCAAACTTTTTAGTTATTGTATTTTGATTTGGTTACATGCACCTCATTGTCACTGCATGACCAATCCAGTATCATCCCAGTATTTGCTAGGTATTGAAAATTTTCAGCTTTTATTTACCGTTTGGCTCAACCAACAGGAATGACTTGCTATACGACTCTAATATACTACATTATAGTGCATGTGAAAAGCATGGCAATAAGTCACACATGTAGATGAACTGCCAAAAAATAATATACATTAGAATTAGTTTGACATGTGATGACCAAGTACATGTAAGTATGATATCTACAACAAAAAAATAATAAATGATTTCCTTTAATACATTTGTAAATCATTTCTCACTACTAATAATTATTTCAAGTTTATTTGGCATATAATCTAATAGAATAAAAGTTTTTGTTAGCTAACACTAGTAATATGAAGTTGTTTCTAACCTATTCATGCAAATAATATAAAAATAATTAGATTAAACCATTATTTTTCTCTAATTAATAGTGTACTTGTTAATAATTCTTGATATTTCTAGGAAGAAAGGTAAACATTATTTTTGTAACGTTACTATTTTGGAATATATTTTCAAATGATGTTTGTTTCAGAGAGCAATTCAAAACAGTTGAAGCTATTATTTTCTTTAGACTTTCAGAGAAATATAATGGTTTATTGTTTTGTTCATTTCATACCTAGCTGATCCATTTTGCTTATTGAAGGTGTCCCTTTTTCTTTGTTTCCAGCTCGACCTGTAAGATTGAGGGACTGGGTGCTAGTATTATATGGAACTGATAGACATCCGTGGAGGAAAAAAGTCCCAGCCCGTCCTCACCGTGCTCCTCCTACCAGAAGGCCAATGTTAATCTACCCTTCCCAAAAACCTTATACAACTAGACCCTCAATAAAGAGCACCATGCATACCAACAACTGGCCTTCCAATCGTAAGATTTGGCACCCGTATCACCGCAAATTCTGGGAACCTTATGTGCCATTCAATTCCAAGTCTTCCACCTATGCACGACACAGATCACACCATTTGCCCCATCCTGCCCACATGTGTGTGTACGAAACTCTTGCCAAAAAGTCCAACATTTCTGCACTGCAGTATATTAGGATGATTCGCCCAAATTTAACTGCAGGCAAGACATTGGTGTAGATGTTGTTTGACTGTTTGATTGAGTTTTAACATATTCTTCCTTCTAATTTCCCTTTGTTCATCCCGCATGGCATATTCATCACTGCACTTTTTATTTTGCTCTATAATTGTGCTGCATGTTCATTGTCATTTCATTTTAGTTCATTTATATTATTCATTATTGACAATGTACAGATCAATTTCATTTTGTATTTTAATTATTATTATCAATTTATATTCTCTGTATTCCCCTAATCAGTGGCTTCTGTTCCTCTTCAGTTGAATTCTTCTATCTCTACAAGTGTACAGAAATATTTACATGTAGTTCAAACAAATATAGCAGTTTAAACACAAAATATTGTTTTTTGTCAAATCAAAGAATGAACATAATGCTAGCATCTTCAGAAATTAAAGAATGAAAGTAACGCTTGCATCTTCATGAAAAGACACCTTCCATTTCTATCTTTCTTACTCTCAATTAAAATACAGATCATTTACATGTATATGTAGTGAAAATATGATTTATTGTTAAAGATACATTATGTTAGACTAAGATAAAGAGCTGGCTGTTCTTGCTATAATAGTTCAAAAATAGATAATGCAAAATGAATATATTGAAAATTTCATTCAAATTACTTTATTCTAAGCCAAGTTATCACTGTTTGTAGTTTTGACAAGATGTGTGCATTGATTGTTTATTATCGTAACCATGGTACTGGTATATTGAGTCTTATCCTCGCTTCTCCATTTTTAAATTAAATCATTAAACAGTCGAACCATTCTAATTTAGTTGAAATCTAGAGAATCTGATTATGGTCTTGTCATGTTAATAAATGTCTAATTAATAATTTAGATAACATTTAAGGCCGAAAGAAAGACCTGCAATAGGCAAAATTAGCTCTTGAATAATGTATCTTTAAATTAGTTGAGCACAACTGAAAGAGTTATCTCACTAAATGAACTCATCCTATCTTGCTCTCACTTAAAGATGCATTATCACATTACGCAGAAAATAAATGTGATTTATTTTGAATAATGCCATATTCAAAATATTTATTGGTGCATCTAATTATCGAAAATACAAGTACAAACCTTCATAGAGTAGCATAGTTTCAATGATTAAAACCTCTAAATAAATATGTCTTTTAAATTTGTATATCAGCAGTGGATTGACAGATGTGCCCCAAATTTTACACACAGTTTATTTTGAATATCACTGTTTTACTGAATGGTGAAGACCTCAAATAGCTAATGACTTTACAATTACGATTATAACATCAGCGAATAATTAATGTTGATCAATTAACTCGATCTTTAAGATGTTTACGATGTATAAAAAACATATTTGAATAGGACATAACTTTCCGGGTTGATAAACTTCACTGAGGCATAAATCATGTTGATATCAAATTTGTAAATTCTTAATAAATGATTATACATGTAATCTGTATTTTAATCAAAACTGATATTTCTAGTATGAGTGCATTTTATTCTGTGCTGTCTTTAAGCTATATTTCTTAAATAGAAATGTCAACAAATGATATAATTTATGTAAATTTCAACCATAAACAAACCAATTCTTTCAATATAATTATTATTCAATATTTTACACCTGTTTGCACGTATTATTGTACAAAACTTGATCTCTTTGAAATGGTACGCATGTAATTTCTACACACACCTAGACTTGAGCAATGTACACACAGATAATACAAGGTCAAAGACATTCCTTAATTATTAAATGCGTTAAGATTAGATTTTAATATTGGCTTTTGATGATCAAAAGAAAACAGATGAACTCAAACACAACGTCACTCTTTAAGACCTTACTCAAGCATGATGATTTCAGAGAAATGTTAGTTGATAAAATAATAATAATAATAATTGTCAAAGCAGTTTTATAACTCTTTTCCTTATAAGTCAGCCATTTGTTACACAGATTTTTGCTCAGATTATAATACATATTTTATGTAAAATTGTTGATATCTGAGATTACTTAATAAACTATTGTTGGATCAAATCACTTACTTGTTTCAAAATAATTAGTTCAAATTATGTTCTGAAATTCTGATTAAAACTTATTTTGCAAGGCTGGTTTGTAATCCTGTCACATCTACTGACCACATATTTGTCTGTGTTTAAACTAGGGTAAGCTTATCTAAATAAACTAGAAAGCATAACACATATTTGGAAGACTAGCACACACAGCAGAAATAGTCTATAGTCAATATTCCTAATGAGGAATAGTTGACATTTCTGTTAATTACATTTTCATGTTACCTAGGATTTATTTTACTGATCAAAGTAGCTAAGTCTTTAACTCAATATCATCCACAGTCTTCAACATTGAAAACACAAATTATTTGTCAATTTAAATCATCATTGATATGGGCTTCTGATATCCAATATTTAAGACAAAATAATCATTTGTAACAAGGGACTCGAAGAACAAGGCTAGACATATTCCACAAGCCATGTCAAACCTTGACGCCATATTCTTATCTGGAGAGCTTGCGGTGTACACTGGAATAACCAGACGCTAGATATGGGCATCTGATTGAGACTTCTCACATATTTCGCCGATCATAACTGATTTGAATTTAAGAGTAAAAATGGAAACAATTGAATGTACATCACTTTATTTTCATTCATATTACATTGTTTTATGTGTTGCAACAAATTGATGTCAATTAGGTCCCAAATATCAACGATTTTTCTCTATAAATATGGTTACTATTACATGTTTAGTTATGTTTTAATATGATTTATTATAATCTTTTTGATACCTTATGAGTTGGTAAACTGACTTTAACTCTTGTGCTAGATGGCTTTCTTGTGACATTCACTGACAACTCCATCAAGGTGCCATGTGGGTAATGTCCTAGGTTGAAATCATGACTAAACTGAGAAGAACTTTTGGATTCCACATTTCATGGCTTGCACTGAAATTTCGTACAGGTGTTGAGATGTGATAATAAAGTATAGTCTTTCTTAATTATAGTTTCAAAGGCCAAATCAAATCTCTACTTTCTTTTTCTCGTTCCATGTTTATAGGTTTTTTCAATTCATAAAAATTTATATGATGTAAAATCATATTTTATATCCTGTTGAACTGTACCAATGCAATAGAATAGCAAACATGTATTTTCTAATTTATTTTTTATCTGACATTTAATCCCTTTAAAATGTTTTGAATAGAAGTTGTATAGAATCCAGTTGTATAAGGATATTGATGCATAATATTGGCCTTGTGTATTGTAATTATATACGTAATACTTTACTGACAGAACATTGAACTGAGGCATTTTGAAACAGACTACAGCTATAATACAGACATTTTTCTCTAAAAGAGGCATTTCCAGGCATCTTCAAAAATGTAATGAATTTTACATAGTATCATATTCAGAATATTCAACTATTAAAAATTCAGACACTGACCTACTTAGAATACAGCTTTTTAAATAAGTATTCAGTAAAATCCTTGAAAACAAGTATAATTGACAGCAATTGCTTGACAGACTTTTATTTTAAGTTGAAGACAGCCATGTTTTCATATACCCAACATAGGTATTGCCACATAAAGTTAGAGCTAAAGCAAACAGCTTTAATGCCTCTTTAAAGTTGTTGTTGTGATTGCCTCTCACAATGATAGTTGCTGTAAATCAGAAGGACGATAACTGAAACATTTATAACATCCTGCATAAATTATACATTTATTGTCTGTCAGTGTTACACTGTACCTGCTACAGGTTTCAATTTTTATATGTCCACAAGAAATGTGATTGTATATTGTTATTTACTAGGTCACTAAAGAAATCATTAAATTTGAAATAGAGAAGTGAAAGAATTCCAATGTTTTTGTGTAATTAAGTTAGTTTGTGAGATTTCAGCATGTTATGTTGTTATGATGAAGAGTTTAGTATGCATGATCCCTTGTAGTTTCAGTTATATTCAGTATTTTAGTAGAGCTCTTGATTTATCTGTCATGCTTTGCCCAAATAAGTCATGTCATATAGTCATCATAAAGTGTATAGTCAATTGTAAATAAATATCTTGAAATTGTCCAGATCAGACATGAAGTAATTTGTAAAACAATGTAATGGAGATAAATCTTTTTTTCTTTCATAGCTTTTCCAAAGATTACTAAATTTTAATTTATTCTTTGTCACACAGCTTAATTTTAATACAAACTTTTAATATATACTGATTGATTTGTTTATTAAAATAACCACATATCTATATGATGTTTGACTGAAGATTATATAATTGTTTTCTCTCTTTTCAGCCGAGTTAAAAGAATGGACATTAGTGGTGATTGGAACTGGTACCCACCCAATCAAGGACAATAACACACCTCCAGTAAATGTTGGCACTGCCTTCACATGTCGTGGTGTCAAGTCCAATGGCATTTGTATAGGTCTGTTGCTCTTTCCTATTGTTTTAGCAGAACTTTTTGGCAGAATTTTACAGCACATTCCACACACTTTGTTATAGCAGGGTGACCTTGTGTTATGTTAGGGCTAGGGCAGGGGTATAGATTTTACCGGGTTTTGTTTTAATCTGCATGGATCACACTAGCCAATTAATTGCAAATGCCAATTGAGTTTTAATCTACTTGAAAATAACACATACACAAGATAGGAAGCTGCTTTTGGATAAAAATAGCACTGTGTTATTTGTAAAAATTGCTTTCATCTTGAGAAAAGAATTTCTTCTGTAGATTTTATTGATTTGAAGACAAAAATGTATTGCTTTTGGAAAGTTTTGATGAGAAAAGGGTCATTCAATGCAATTTTCCAGAACAGAACTGTCACGATTACATTTCCTTCACAGCATAGATATTCGTGTTTAGATACTTCTAGTTAAATGTCTGCAGAGAAAGCAATGAATCTATATGTACAATCAGAAATGTCATTGAGGGCAATAAATTGACCTTTAACTGAATGCAATAGTAAATCAGTGTAGGTTTAAATATGATAGCAATCAGTTTTGATAAACATGATCAAATATCTGTGGATTATTAATTATTTCTAAGTAAGGAATTGATTATTTTCATTGGCCAGTACAAGAACATATTCTGGATTAAAATGATATTTTTTTACAAATACATGCATTCTTCTTTTTAAAAGTAAATTTAGATAAAAAAAAAAAGAATAAATGTCTTCCAATATCTGATAATCTTGCCAGACTTGCTAGTTTACAGTCATGCCTAGTCCTTGATAGGCTCTAATGTCATATAAATAAACTGGATGAAGTTCCATACCCTAATGATGATAAAATGATAGCCATGAAAAGTTCTGAAAGTTATCTATAATGGTTTTACTATTACACTGATCAAGCTTTTGTCATTTATTAGATGTCTCTTTCTTTCATCTTAAATCATAATGATTTGCCAGAATATGACTCTCCTATATGATGCAGACAAGTTGAATATTTAATAAGCCATTGTAATTGTTGGCTCTTTTTGAAAAAAAAATGCAGACCATTTTTAAATGCTATACTTTAAAACAAAGGTTAGTATGCTGGTAATTTGCCAACAGAAAACAAAATTCTAAAGATTCTCAAGTTACTATAAACTTACATATATACAACTTGGAAGGATTTGGTGAATGGACGGATATCTTAAAAATATAGGTCTTTGTTGTCAAAACATTGCTTTTACATGTAAAATTGCCATGACAACAAATATTTTGAATGGCATGCTTAATTATCTGTACTGGTAGTTGAAAAGTTCATTATCTGGCAAGTTGAAGAACATTTTGTTCCATTTTTCCTCAACAACTACAAAATATTCTAGGATTGAACCACAGCATACAATTATCATGCTAGTAATGACCTGAAGATCATGCAATATTGCTATGTAGAGTAAAAAAAAGCATCAGATACTGAATCAAAAACTTAGCTATAATGGTTCCATCCTGGAAATATCAACTTTAGAAGCACCTTTCTATGCAAAATATGTTTATATTTCCTTTTTGATTTCTAAATTCTTTGGTTATATTTCTGGTCATATTTAATTTATTATTATTTCATCTGTTTCTAAAATAAAAAGTTCATGTTAATTTATTAAGAAATGGAAAATGTAGTATGGGACCACATTTAAGTTTGTTTTGGCAGCTTCATATGAAAATGGCAATTTCACAGGATTCCCATAATTATAACAAACAAATATTATCTAACCAGGAAGGTGTAGTGAATATTCAAAAGAAATCTGACTCTTAATTCAATGGGTTAATAATGAACAATAAGCCTAATAAGTTTATGACTTAGAACTGATATTAGCCCGTTCTTGACAGCATTCATGTAAGTAAATACAAGAAATGAGTTAGCATAAGATAAATGAAATATGATAGATAAAATGTACAGTTTTCTATATATTATTAATTTCAATGTTAAAATGTGATAAATGTTTGTTTTCATAAATGTTCTCATATTTTGGAGAAATTGTAGCGTTTTGTAAATATTGGGAAAGTGTGTGGTAATTTATTGTTATTCATTGTTGTTTAAGTTTAATAATGATATAATGTAATATATGATATACCTCAGAAATATATGAATGGTATATGTAAATATATATATCTATATCATTCTATATGGTCTCGTATCAAAATGAGTTAGTCCCTCATATACATATATACTATCAAATTTTAAAATATACACTGTACATAATTCAGAGTCTTGATTGCACCTCTTTGTTTTGGGTATCAATCATTCTAAGGGCTTGTGAACACATATGTGATCAAAAACCTAGAAGATGTTCTTATTACTGGTAAAAGTGTAAATAAATTAACATAATATCAACATATACTCTAACTCTAGCTGATTAATGTAACTTCTCTGTATATATACAAGAAATCTCTTCCTAAAATGATATTAAACTCATAATAATAAACACATACATTTTCATTTATATATGGCTTATATAATGCTATTTTTATTATCATTTATTTATTCCCCACCTCATTTTCATCGACAATATAACATGATTTTATTTAATGTTTGATTTTTTATCCATATTGTGTTGTGCCAAATTTATGAACATATTTTAATTTAAAGTGCTTCCAGATGGAATTATACAAAATCTTAAATGAAATCCAGTTTTTATCCTGAAAATATTTCTATAATTGATTGTAAAGCATATTCATATTCAAGTCAATATAACTTAGATATTGACATTATATAACTAAGTTATTTCATATCCCACCATTTTCAAATAATATTGGGTGCTATTTCAAAACCTATTAAACCTATGAACAACAACTATGCCTTTTCCCATTTTAAAATCAATAGGAATCATTAATCATGTGATACTGCGCAAATATAGCACTACAGTATAGAGATAATGGAACTAGTTTCATTCTACTCTGTTTTAACACAATTTTTCAATAAATAAAATGTGAAAAAGATATTGTTTTAAATTACCTATTATTTTATTCTACATGCTGGTAACCCCGTATTAGCTTGATAACCTTGAGAGATAACTCTTCGAAACGCCGCCCAAATAAATAAGTAGCTGTTTTTCCATAAGTATGTGTTATAGTTTTTTGCTCTACCGAGTTACTAAATGCCTCTAAAAGATTATGCCGGTAACCAGTTATTGAATATTGAGTAATAGTGTTTTGTCCTTTAAACATACATGCATAATTCATTCAACATCATATCATTAAGACTTTGTATATATTTTATAATTAAAGATTAAAAAGGTTGTGTTGAATATGTACATATAAAATACATGTGAAAACTAGTTTTGAGCTTTCCCTTAGTCTCTTTGAATAAAGACAAACTTAAAACTTTCACGTTCCTATTAAATTAATGAAGAGTACTTTGTGGAAATTAATTGCTGATTGGAAATAATTTAATGAGTTTATCTGAGCTATGTGAACCGTAATCAATTAGTGGTTGGAGATTTATTTCTCACATTTAGCTGACTGTAGCATTGACTACACACCCTAGGTGATGCTAGGGATTAACATTGTATAGTTTTATTTCCTTAATTCTCTTATGCAAAAGGGATTTTTACAGTGGAAGGAAACTAGAAATAAGGGGTATTCATTGAAGTTAGGCAGAAGACCCTATTTCTCGTCAAGATCGAAACCACAATACTTCACTCAATGAGGGACTAAGCTGTACACAGTAGATCACATGGCCACCAAACCCCTATTTGTTCAGTATTGCTAATTCATCTCAAAGATGGTTTGTATGATAAGTACAATTAATTAGAATTGTTGACCCAGTTGCAACCAGGTGACAAATTCAAACCTGTTTAAACCTTGCTAGTTATCTAAAAGGAAGGATGTCGTTATTAACTTTAGAATCTCGACTAGACATTGAAATGTTACTATCTCAGTTTTTAAATTGAAAAATAAATTCCCCACGCCAAAAATAGTCATTATCTGATTACTAATATGAGATATAGACACTCCTTTATTTTAGTATGAAGATCAAAGGGCTTGCTTGTACTTCAATTTCTAGTACCATCCAATATGTTTGAAATTCTATTTCCGCTAAAGCAGTCACCTACTTGTTGATCACTTTATTTACTGTTAATCGTTAATTACATAGTTAAAATAGTTGTCCCTCCCACATATAAATTAGAAAACAGCTTTAACCACAAACATTAAGTATTGGTTATGACATGAAAGTTTAGGTTTGTCTTGATATGTTAATTAAAAGTGCAATAGTTATAGATTTAAATATGTTTATTATAAGCTAGTCATTCTGTTAGATACTTAATAGACAGGATCATAAAACAATGCTAAAAATTATTTAAAGATACATTATGGAATATTAGACAACAAGTTGGCAGTTCACACTATAATAGTTAAAAACTAGGCAACGTAAAGGCAATTTGCTGAAAATTTCAGTCAAATTGATCCACTATGAACCGAGAAATAAGCGATCAAAAGTTCTGCATAGCCTCGATCATCATTACTAAAGTCGGTACTACAAAAATCATAGTCTCGATTATCCATTTAATCGTTAAATCGAGAAGGAAAGTTATGCAGCAAATCGGATCATAATCCAACAAATATCGCAGGCTAGCATTGACATCGAGAGTTGATTATGGTCTGGATACGTTAATTAATGTCTAATTAATAGTTTATATAACATTTCAGGCCTAAAGAAAGACCTACAATAGGCAGATTTAGCTCTTGCATAATGTATGTTTAACATTCTCAAATTGTTTGTAGTGTAAACATTTAGCTTAAACAGGATAAAATAGTATGCTGTAGATGCATTATTTAAGATTTAGATAATGAGTTGGCCGATCTCGCTACACTCATTCAAAAATAGATGATGAAATAATGATAAATTGAAAAATTTCAGTCAAATTACTTTATTCTGAGCAAAGTTATGAATGTTTGAAGTTTTGACAAGATGTAGCCTTAATAGTCTTGATTTTCAAGTACAGTTACTGCGATACTAAACAAAGTCTTGATTGTCCATTTTAACGTTTAACGAATATATGGCAGACATTATCTAATCCATTTAATATCTCAGCTATCTGATGATCTAGAAAGTTATCGGCTGTACATATGAATAAATGTCTTAAAAATTTTTTATAACATTTGAAGCCAGAAAAAAGACCTGCATAAGGCAGATTTAGCTCATACATAATACATCTTTAATGTTTACACTTAGGCTATCTGAAAATGGCTTCTTATCGATAAAGGTGTGGGTTGTTAGATTGGTGCTTGCATTCTTCTATCAGATCTTTGAAACATAATAACTTTACTTCTAGTGCTTGGATTTTTATTATATCTTCAAAGTACAAACATTAATGACAGCTACGAATATTTAATTAGTGTACTATAATCTAATTTGAAAAGCAATACCAATAAAATTTGGAAAACACCTTCATTGTATCAAACAATCACCAAAATTCGAACATGCATATTTGATTAACCTTCTGTTTGATGCTTAGTAACAGTTCAGACCGCAATTCAATTGGGCAGGAAGCCAAAAAGTACTTGTGAGTTATGATATTTTGAGTTCTTTTTTAAAGAAGACAAAAAAAAACCCTCCAAAAAGCATCTTAGATCTATGGTCCTGTCTGTTAAAAGATTTAGTTTGTTAGAACTCTTAACAGTGTATTCTTAATGTTAAGTTTCAAATTTACATGTTGAATTTTGTTAAATTTCACGTGAGAAATGATATTTGTTTAAATACATTTAACTATTAATTATCAACTGTTAATTTGTTAATATTCTATGGGTTAAAATGTATATCTTTTAATTATATCCAATTCATCCAATCAGTTCAATCAGAATTTTATCATTGTATCATTTCTTAATTCATTATTTAAAATTCACTGAAAATGAAAATAAAACATTTGAATAATACAAGTAACAAAGTCATTCAATTTGTTGAAAGTTTCATTCAATTATGGATATGAGCAAGTATCAACAGAAATGGTTGTGCAGCAGCTGGATGCATATGTGTACTGCAAACTTGGAGCTGGGAAGTGGGCTTTTTAAGTGGGATGTGTTAAGAAACCCTGATTTGTCTTATGCAAGACCATTTTATCACTGATTACCAGTTATTCATTGATATAAAGATCAGCTAAAAGTTAACTGAAGGATGTTTATTAGGGATTTGAATACCATAATTAATCAATCTAATTAAATTAGATATTTAATTTGTTCTGTTTATTTTGTTTTTATATGCCCACATGGAAATGTTGGAGGATACTCTCGTCACCACCTTTGGTCCGTCGTTGATAATTTCTTGTGATCACTCCTCAGACCACATTTATCATCCAATCATTTTAAATTTTTGTAAGTTGTTGAACCATTAATTACTAGAGTTATGTCCCTTGTTTCACTTTTTAAAATCTTATTAAATTTCCGTTAATTCTGAACACACCAACAAAAGTTATCATCTAATCAGATTGGAACATACATGCATTATTTAAATTAGTATAATTTATCAAATTTCTGATAATTCTGATTATAAAGTTATTGCCCTTGATTATGTCATAAAATCTTGTCAACACGCCTAAGGTATTATAGTCTAAAGATTTTGCCTCATGGGCTGCTTGGACAACTTAGCTGCTGAGAGTGTATGTTTCATTCCCTGGCAACTTATCTTTTTGTGTTTACATTCTGTAATTTCAATGCTAATGACATTAAAGTAAACAAATGATCAGTCTAAATTTAATTAGACTGATAATTAATTTGGTTTGAGGAATAACAAATTATCTCAAGAAAAGTTTTCCTGTGAATATATTAGCTGAACGACAAGAGAGATAAATACATTGAGCTATGTGCCCATGTAAACTACTGTTTGGAGTAAGATTGCAAAAATACTTTATCCCTTTTAATTAAAAAAAAAAATTGAACAATGTGAATATGTTGATAAGGATGTATTACAGATTAGGTTTGTATGTATTGTAGAATGGCCACCAACAGGTGAGTTACTGCATCTGACACATCCGACTGACGGTATTGGTTTGTAGATACCCCTAAATCCCTCATACTAACATAATAACTGGAATGAAATCTCTATAGAATTGTGCATGAGGATTTATATATGGTTGAAGAAACATGAATTGTATTCTGTGTACTGTAAAACATGAAATTATTGCAGGCTACTTACCGGTATATGGTGATTTCTAATATAAGACAAAGTTCAAATCTATAGGACTCTCAAGGACAAAGTTCATATTAAACCTGTGTGCAGTTGTTGTGACATAATTCTATTTCTTTGCAATTTTCAGATTATTTTCACATAATTTCATGTATTACGGTATTTATTGTATTTTACCATCATTGCATTTATTTGTATTTATATGAATTAAATCCAGAACTGGATAATCTTAACAATTTAAGTTTGCCTGTGATGTGTGAATATTCTATTGATCTGATGAAGTGGAATTTGATCCATTGACCCATGTACTTGTTTAGTAAAAATGTGAACAGCCTTCTAATTGCTTCCGTTTTCTACTGTGATTTATATGAAGTTACGCCAAGTGATTAACTTCTGTCAGTAGCAGTGTACTTCTCAAACTTTCAATAAGAACCAGAGAGTAATGGATAAATCGATAACTCTAATGTGTCATTTCATGCAAATTAAAAATTGAAGAAATTTGTTATAAGAAATGTTAAGATGATGTTTTGATTGTACTGTTTAAACTGAAATATATTCAATTTAATGATTGATATAATTTTAGAAATAGTATGATATTTATGTGTTTCATTTTAATAAGATATCAAATTGGAGAACTTTCTTCAATTTGCTTTTTACATTTAGATTTGTTTAATGGTGCAGTCTCAGATATATATCAGTGAACAATAAGATTAATTCTGTACAACCTTCAATTTCCATAATGTTGGTGATAAGTCCACAAATTCCACACTATCCACAGTTGTCTCAATAGATGTTTACTGGAACATAATTCCCATGTTTTTATAGTGATAGGATATTATTGCAATTGTCACCTCATTCATGGAGTTGTACTACAGAATCACTTAAATGATAATAACCTCTGCAAAATTAGTCATTTTTTAGCTGAAATTTTCAGACAAGTTATTTGGCTATTTCTTCATATTGATCAATCTGGGACTGTTTCTTTAACAGTACAATGTTTACTAATCATGTTAAAACACTTTTGCAAAGTTTTAGTTTCATTTTCGGATTCTGTGTTGACAGTGGAACCCACAACTAGTTTTAGCTTAACATTGAATTCATTTAAGGACATTCAATTTTGAACGAGCTCTGATTATGATACCTCAATACAAATTAACATATAACATCAAATGATATAGATAATTTATTTTTGATCAAAATCAAAGAATTCTCTCAATTTTAAAAAAGGAAAAAATATTTTTTATTTAGGTGACAAAATGAAGGTATCTATTGAATTAATACCTGTTTTTCATATGCTGATTAAATGAAATTCCCTTATCACTAATTGAAATAACACTTTGGCCCAAATCAAGAGATCATTCTCATTTAATTAGAAAGTCATAAACAATCCATAAAATATGACCTGATTGCGAAATGAGACAAAATTGTATTGAACCATATTGCCTGTAAATCACGCCAAGAACATCTTCGATTAATGCCTTACTTTAGTGCTAAGATGACATTCTTAGGTTGCCAATCTAGTTCATTGAATCAATGAAAAGACGAACAAAATAATTGATCTCTTGTTCAGCTAGACAGATTTAGCATTGCCGCCTGCTGAAATTTCTAAACTGTGCCAAATTAGATGTTTCAGTTTGGTACAAAATTCACCAAAGCTTTTCTTGTAATAAGAATAATTGATTTCTATAACGCTTCATTATGGCCAAATGTCATTTCTAAGTGTTTTGTAAAAAGTTCATAATAGAGAGTACAAATGTCTTGAGTTCAAAGTTTCTAAAACCTTAAAGGTTATTTTTCCTAAATATTACTGAGAATGATATTTAAAAGTTGTATAATACATGGAACAGTAAATTTATGTTATTCATTATTCAGAGTTTTATCACATAAACATGTCAAAATTAATTCAGTACAGATTGTCTTACTTTTATGCATCATCTATGTAAATATCAATATTCATGTCTATAACATAGTCTTGTTCTTTTTTTTTAATGAAATGATAAATGTTATTTTGCTATGCATTGAATTATAGTTATTTTTCAGAATGTTATGATTTTGATATTGCAAATGGCAATATTTTAACAAAACTAATTAGATTTAAACAATTGTAAAATGTATACAGATGCACGATAATGGAACAGAATCTGTTTCAAACAATAACACTACAGACGCATGTGCATCTACCACCCATAGCCCTGCTTGAAATAATCCAGCCCCAATAATCTTATTATTGTTAAAACTTTAGCCTGTTGTGGAGCAAGTATTGAATCATTATAGAACTTTACTAAACTCTAGTACCAGTAACATTAAATGGATCCTACTTGCTCCACCAAAAAATAATCATTTTTCAAGTCGATTTAACATGAACCTTATAAGATTGGGTCAATTGTTGAGTTGAGAATTTACGGTAACTTTTAATAAGTTGACAAATTTATTGTATAAGTAGTAGACGTTGTTTTTTTTTTTATTTGAAAACTTCAAAACTTTTTCAAAATCTCAAGTAATAGTTTTTAAAAATTGGATTGTAAAGAGTAATTTGTATGATTTGTTCAATTCATCTTAATTAAAGATGCTCTTGACAGACCAATTTATTAGCCTGTAGAAATGTATATTTATTTATCTCATGAATAACATAATAGAGAATATTTACAAGTACAAATAATAATTAGTACCCAAACAATAATGTCTGCAATAATAAGCCCTTCGGTCATGTCTAAATAAGGGAGAAAAAAAAATTATCCCTGAGGTTAAATATTGGTAAAATGAGAAAACACATGATAAATTAACATGACTATTCTTGTTCTATCTTTAGTTTGTTAATTTCTTGGTAATATTTTATGTTTTAGATAACATTTTTCTATTTAATTCAGCGCCTATTTTTATGTACTGCTTGTTTACATAAACTGTAATGTTTCAAATATGTAAGAAAGGTTTAGGTACAAATTCTGTCCTTGGAAAGAAAATTAATATTAGCTTACTTGAATGTCGTACTTCCTTGCACTCAGTTTATTTTCATCTTTACCAAGTTTTTATTTGAAAATGGTAAACAATCTTTAAACACATAACTAGTTAACTATGTTTTATTTTCTTATCTAAACCTTTCTACTCGCTTTCAATTTTTACGTTTTTTTTTTCTTTGCACCTATTTCTAAAATCTATTCCTATATTAATTAAGATGTTTCTTAATGTGCATCCCAAAATGAATATAATCTTATAGAGTTTTGTGTTCTATTTCCAGAATGTAAGCCTGGTTATTTCAAGCTGGGAGATGGGTGTGTGGCACATTGTCCCGAACATTATTTCGGCAGTGTCGAAGCTGTGCAATTAGTGTCTCCTATTCAAGCAAACTATACTAGACCATTAGTGCGAACTCAGGGTATATGTGCTCCCTGTCACTCCTCTTGCCTTACATGTCGAGGGGCTCGTATGGAAGAGTGCTTTCAATGTAGTGAAGGGTATGAACGTAAGAATGACTTCTGCACGAAGAAAATGATCTGGGATTTCCTCGATCCAGATGTGATGAAGCATTTAGCATGGGCAATTATATTATGTATTGGAGCTATTTTACTATTTTGTGTATTATTTGGACTGCTTCAAGTAAGAGATCATAGGAAATTGTGTTGGAGTGCTAAAAGGTTTTATGTGCCGGACTTGGCAAAAGGTCATTATAATGGGGTGTCAAGGAATTGTGCGGATGATCCTGAAAGTCTAAGTGAATCAGGTAGTGCTAGGACAGCCAGTACAGATAGTCAAGAAAGAG